AAAATAAAATAAAATAAAATGTATAGAAGGGAAAACACTAACTGCAAAGAAACCGATACGGAATTGCGGTATGATATACGATGGAACTTCTTGTTCCTATGTTGTTTTTAAGTCATGTGTTTGTTTTTGTTGATGTGTTTATGTGTTTAAAATAAAAATTTATAAAACAAAATGGCATTAACCCATCTACTCTTCACACTATCTGTCAAATGGCACCCCTACCATCCAACAGGCACCTTCTCACCCAGAAAACACAAAAAAATGCACCTTCCTAAGCCCCAGCACACCAACAACACAATATGCGTCACCGCATAAATACCTTCAGAGTACGGTTCCCCCCAAAAGACAAGGGAAAAGGGAAAATCAAGATAGCAGCTACGATGGTGTGATTGAAACTCCACCCGCGTTTGACGTGGCAGCAATAACAGCACCCCTTAGAATTATGCGCCGCTTCACAGCGCTTCACAGCCCCTTTTAAAGCGGTTTGCAGAGTCAGAATTTTGCCCCCCCCCTCCCCCCGGCCCAACCATTTGGATCTTCATTTTACTGACGAAGGATGGAAGGCTGAGTCAACCTTGAGCTGGTCAGGATCGAACTGAGTTAGCCTGCAGTACTGCATTCCAACCACAGTGCCACCAGGAAGGAGAATGAGAAAGGGAATAAGGAAGGAAGGAAGGAAGGAAGGAAGGAAGGAAGGAAGGAAGGAAGGCCTTTTACCAAGCCTTTGTCAACTATATTTTTTACAATAATGATTACAGAGTAATTATACCTCTGATTTTAAGTACATTGCATTTATTTTTATGTTTTATAATTTACATTTTAATTCTATTCAGTCACCAATGCTTTATGGACAAAATAGACAGATGGTATAATAAGTTCATCGTGATGATGAATAGCCCTTAAGACTTATATACCGCTTTACAGTGCTTTACGGCCCTCTCTAAGCGGTTTACAGAGTCAGCCTCTTGCCCCCAACAATCTGGGCCCTCGTTTTACCCACCTCGGAAGGACGGAAGGCTGAGTCAACCTTGAGCCTGCAATACTGCACTCTAACCACTGTGCCACCGGCTCATTGTTGTTAAGTGAATCACTGCAATTGCTCAGTTAGTAACACGGCACTTAAGTGAATCGGGATTTCCCATTGACTTTCCTTGTCAGCAAGGTGGAGAGGTGGCGCAGTGGTTAGAGTGCAGTACTGCAGGCCACTTCAGCTGACTGTTAACTGCAGTTCGGCGGTTCTAATCTCACCGGCTCAGGGTTGACTCAGCCTTCCATCCNTGGCTCTTCCTTGTTCTTAGCCGCAATGACTCCCGTTGTGTAGCCCACCTGGGCTTGCTACGAAGACGATGGCAAAGAGAGATTGATTGTGCGACAGATCCGGCTCGGGGCCATTTCAATAACCAACCCACAGCCGAAGTCAGTAATTCAAGTTTTATTTTATCAACTCTATTGATAAATGACACCATCCGAGTCTGCTGAATTTGGCTAAACCTCCCACCCCACCCCTCTTCCCACCTCTGCCAGTTGTATATAGTAACACAGCGGCCTATACTGGAAACCAGAAGAATTTGTATGGATAGGACAAAAAAAATCATAGGCATAACCAACCCCTATATACAACAAACAGTATACACAAAAGAAAAGAGTTTTGTTGTTGTGGTGGTTGTTGTTGTCGCTGCTGTAAACCATGCACACCACAGCGTGAGGACTAAATTGTGTCTCTTGATGATGATCTGTTCAAGGATGCAGAATTGGGTCAGCTGCTTTGAAGAGCGCCGAGCATCTCCCTCCCCCCCGTTAGAATCGGTGCTGGATGCTGGAATGGCATTTTGTTGATTTCAGTTTTAAAACACTATGCAACCCACCCACCCCCGCCTTTTTTGGGCTTTTTGCTACGACGTGCGTCACCCCAACTCCGATTATTAAAAGTTTTAGGGCTCTGAAGCAGCGTTTCTTAGCGAGTTTCAAGCTGTGCTGGCTGGGGGATTCTGGGAATTGAAGTCCTGCTATCCTAAAGGAAGCCCCATTGCAAGAAATTCGATTAACTCAATAAACCCCAAATTCTACACTGTTTTTTTTTGCTAACTTGGTGGCCTCCAGATCTGTCGAACCGGGACAAAATCCTGAGGGCTTCGGTCCCAGCACAATGGGAAGGAGCAGCTGGTCCAAGGCCGGTGGGCCTGCCAAACCGACCTCCAAATTATTTCTTTTGCCTCGAGGCTTCTTACAACGTAGTGTCCCAAATTTTAAAAGACTTAAAGTGTTCCCCCCCCAAAAAAGGCAGGGAGGCTGGTTAATTATTCAATATGCCCAAAACAAGGAAACTTTCCCCCCAAGGCTCCCCACTTCCCCGGAGTTGAGAAGGAAAGTTACGTTAACTCAAGACGGTAACGAAGAACCTAAAACTGAAATGAGCCAAGAAAACATCAAAGCACAAAGCGCATACGATTTATCCTTTTTGCAGTCTTCACAAAAGAGTTTTTGCATAGAGATTCACACTGTCCAAGTGCACCCAATTTTCCGGTTCTCCACTTATTTTCGAGCA